ACACCCTGTATATATATATATATATATATATATGTGTGTGTGTGTGTGTAAAAGGTAAAAAAAGGTAAAGTTGTCCCTGTGAACTCGTTAAGCACTACGCTATGAAGGAATATGGGGGAGTGCATTATAGATCTACATTCTCTGAACTTTGGCACTAGATGGAGGTGAGTGGTCAGCTTCAAGTGCCAGCTGCTTTACCCCTGGGGAAAGTGTCCTCAGTACCCCTCGGATAGGAGGTTGGGTGGACCCCAGAGCCTGTCTGGACAATGTGGAGAAAAGAAAATTCTTGACCCCACCAGTACTCAAACTCTGACCCATCATCCAGCCTGTAGCTATACTAACTACGCTATACCAGCTCAGTGTAATATATGTATATTATGTAGTATACATTATGTAATACAATAATATATACCACATTACTATTATGTCCAGAATATACCACTAAAAATATAACCACACTGACTGTAGAAGTAATTTAAGTAGAAATTCTATATAATTCTAGAACTATTTCAAGAATACAGTCTTCAAATAACTCCTAAAATTTAGAAATTAGTCACTTTTCAGATCCAGAAATAACTATGACTGTTAATATGCTATGCAGCTGATAATCACAATAGCTTATGATGAAGTCAACACAAGCCTGCCATTTCACAAATGTCTTGCATTAAAATAAAAAATGTGTCAAATATACTATGGTGAAAGTAAAGTAAAATAGTAAAGGTATCCCTGTAACAGGCCGTGAGGGCCCACAGGGTTGTGAGATGTTGAGGTTCCCACATTTCTAGACAATCGGCTCATAGATGGCGGCAAGGTTGTCAGCCTTATGTGCCAGCCGCCCTTTACCCTCAAGAACATTCAAAGATTATTTCTGGTACTCATTTCTGTTAGAGGCTGAGTTGACCCAAGGGCCATGGTGTGGCTGGAAGGATTAGGTCAATTGAAAAAAAATCCAATGACCTCATCAAGACTTGAACATGTGACCTTCCAGCTTGTAGCATAGTGCCTCAAACAACTATGCTACCGCATGCCCCATACTATGGTGCCACATTTTAAATTTATATACCAAATTTTAGTCCTTTACCTCTCCAAATTAAAATTTAAATAGTACTATCAGTTATCTTCATAATCAACTGAGTAACAAATTAAAATAAAATTTGGCAAATATTATTTCAAACATCCAGTCTATGTCAGACATTTTGTAGCAAGTTCACACAAAATATCTACCAAATTTAATCATGTTAAATCCAACCTGAATCCAATTGCAATCAAGAAAGTCAATTTAACAACATGAAATGTTTCATTAAATAAACCATTACCATGGAAACAGGCTCCATAGAATATGCTTGTGTTCAAAACATAAACTAGAGGTAACTTTAGATGGGGTTGCACTATAAAACTATTTATTAAATATACGTGTAACTTTGACATCATTTGTAAAAACTGACCTAAAATTTGTCATTAAATTTGCCAACTTCTAAATTGTCTGCAACTGATAATTCTTCTGTATATTTCTGTTTTGTTTGTAAATATGCACAAAAATATTATAGTTATATATTTTAAAGACACTACAGATCCTTGAGACTCGCACATCAATACTCAACAAAGCAACATTACAGGGCAAAAAGTTAAAAGCATTAATTAATATTAATACAACGTTAAAATAACTGCATAAATTCAGAAGTTTAAAAATAAACTGGAATTCTCTTATCATACAAGATTTGCAGCCAGTTACTTAAAATTTGTTGTTTGGACAAATCGGTTTATTAAAATGTTAATCTCCTAAAATAACCTCCAAAAATAATCACAGAATATTTATCACTCACCTTTTGTAAATGTTAAACCAACTATTTGTGAAAAGTCAAGAGTTCGCTGCTGTGCTGATGTAAAGCGCTACAGAAACAAATGCTGTATCTTATTAACATGATTCTGACTTCCTTTACAATCATATTACTTTACAATATTAACATTATTTTATAATAATCAAGTAATATTTTCATACTCATTTAATAATACTGTTACAGAAAGAACATACTTGAAACTATTTTAAATCTGAGAGCAACAATTCCTTGCAAACAAGTTGTTCAACTACATTCTAAAGGGCTGTGAGAATGGTGTATAATGCTCAGAATTACTGGTTTTTTTACTTTGTCAATCATCCGATGTTCTAAGAAATAAGAGAACAGTGATTAACCTTTATCGGACGAACATCATCATATGATGTCGTTAAAAGTTAGGGCAGCTGGCCGAACGTCATCATATGATGTTGCGGATTCCACGCGTGTAAGGTTTTTTTTAATATTATATTAAAAATATAAATTGTTCTATTTACATGATTTTTGGTCACCACCTTTATAAGGAGACAGCCTTCGTTCCTGCATGATCTAATGTAATCTAGGGACGTCATATGACGTTAAAAGTAAGGACAAATTTAAGAACGACATCATATGATGTCGCGCATTCCACGCGTGTAAAGATTTTTTTAAAATTAAATTTAAAATATAAATTGTTCTTCTATTTACATAATTTTTGGTCACAACCTTTATAAGGTGACAGCCTTCCCTCCTGCGTGATCTAATGTAATCTACCGACGTCATATGGCCGAACGACCTCATATGATTTCGCGCATTGCACGCGTGTAAAGATTTTTTTAAAATTAAATTTAAAATTAAATTTTTGCTCTACTTACGTGATATATGTTCACCATCTTCATGAGGAAACAGCCTTCCCTCCTGCGTCATCTATGGTAATGTGGCCTTCGTATGGTACTGCCGAAAACATTCCGAAATGCAGAGTCCGACGTCGCAGCTCACGCACTTCGTACGAACGCTAGACCGCTTCCCACGCGAAAAGCACACACGACACCTCAGTTGCGATTTAGAGGAAGCAGGCCAGTGATGTCGAGCTGCAGTGATATTTATCCCCGCAGCTACACCGGAATAATTATTCACACCTCTCCAGCCACACTGGTCTGGCGGTCCCCAAGTTGCTGACGAAGGTGATGACCCTTCGTCCGCGGAATCAGAACTCCAACTTTGCTCGCCCCTCTCAGAATCGGTTCAATAGCAGTCCGAATCTGTGTCTTTGAACAGCTGTTTCTCAATTTCAGCATCAGAACTCCAACTTTCCTCGCCACATTCAGAATCGGTTGAATAGCAGTCCGAATCTGTGTCATTGAACAGCTGTTTCTCAATTTCAGCATCTTCCATATGACGTCGTCGTGTATACGGCTCTCTAGCAGTGAATCTCTGTGCTTAGACCACGAAAAGAAGCTATAAATCTTAACCTCGAGCCCACACATACAAAAATTTCATTCACGACTTGGCTGAACCCAATATCTACTTCATAATGTCATGGGTGGCTAAACTTATACTGCGATGTTTCAAAATCGTTACAAACACAATGGTTTGACTGCAATGAATGAACGAATGACCGATCTGGCAACACCATATTCTGAGAATTAACTCCCGTATCTTTCTAAAACATTACACAGCGAGCGATATCAGACGCATACAGTCATGCATACTGAAATGTCCCATACGATAAATAAGCGTCAACAAGAGACATCATTGAATGTGAAGTCGCCACAAGGACTTACACTGCTAAAACGCATGGTGCAGAAAATGTATTACACTGCTAGAACGCATGGCGCAGAAAATGTATGAATTTTGGGAATTTTTTTGGGGGAATCAGTGTAAAAAATTTTTACAGATATTAAAATCTGTAAATTAGAATATCTGATTCTATATTCTTTCTACATTAAAGGAGCGTTCATTTCGTTCATCATAAAAAATGTAGAAATCACACCATTTTTTGAAACATGCTTACAATTTCATTGCCCTTGAAGGGCGTGCATTTAAATAAACTCCGTCCAGCTGCCCCTACCGGAAATTAAATGGCCCGTCCGATAAAGGTTAAGGTTATATCTTTCTAAGGGAAAGAATGGAGTAGGTATCTCCCTCATCACCTGAGGACAGAAACAGATCCAATTTCTGAAACACTGTGTTCTCTAGTTTTTTAGAATACTGGACAATGGCCACAGTTCAAAAACCCAGTAATTCTGAAGTTGTTCAACATTCAACATCAACCACTGTCTCAATTCTTACTGTGCCAAAGGAATATGAACAAGTTTAGCAAACAACATTGTTGAAAAATTTGGTTACAGATAGTTCGATAGAGGAAACAAAAAAGCTATGCAGGAATGCATGCTATGTGTTTTATGACAAGACTATTATATTGCAGGAAGCACACCATACCAACAGTGGAGTTTCATTCTCACAGTCACGGTATTTACATAAAACTATTTATACAACATGTGAAAAGAAAGAACATCTACATACAAGGTCAGCATTCACAAAGATTGCCAGGTCTTAAGAGGTAATGAAAAGGCACTGCTTATGAATATTTTTCAATTCTGTAACACAATGCAAAAATGATTTCTACAGAAAGATTAATACAGTGTATTCTACATCAAAAATAGAATTCTGAAAAGAATCTTATGAAGCTGAATTCATCTGTATTTGGAAAGACTTTCAATATACAATCCTTGGGCTAAAAGAAATCTACACTCTCACATCAAAAGTGTGACATCCTCCACCCTCACCAGGTCCATAGGGGCAAAAATGACCTAAAAGATCATAAATCGGGAGTTTATCAACATAAAGGAACCATAAAACCATAAAGAACGTCCATACATTCCTTTGAAAATGTTACATATGGTTGCAAGATTTTAGGTTCTTGTAGCAGCAAACAGGAAGAATGCAGTCTTCTAAGATGCAAGCCATACAGTCTGGCAGAATGTTACCAATATTTTGGAGGAACCTGCTGCCTCCATCTACCTTCAAAATGTAAGGAGCAGGTTCCTTCAAAATACTGATAACTCTCTATCACACTACACGGCGTCGCATCCCAGAAGCCGGTAATCTCAAACACATTTTGAAACTGAAGGGAACCTCTTAACATAAACATAAATCAATGAATGGTGATATTAAGGTCATACGACAATAAATGTAATAATCTTTTGTACACACAGTCTACAGGTTTAAATCCACACAAGACATGACTGATATATTTGTTTCTCATTTCTGCCACCATTATGTCACACTTTAACTACTGTATGAAGCATATTTGATGTACATGGGGCAGAAGAAAGTTTCAATTTTCCATTTACTTTACTATTCCAAGTTGGCTCCACTCCCATTTTTAGATGGTCACTATACTGAAAAAAGGGAAATAAGAAAATCTGACAATAAGCTATACATTTTTCACTATATGAGCATGAAGAAAAATGATTCCTTTAATGAACACCTGAATCATAACACACAGTAGCTGGATAAAGAAACCAACACCATCAATGTTCCTACAACAGTGCATTTCAGTCATACACACAATGCAACACGTACCTTATTTAATCACAGGCAACAGCACCAAATGAACTAATATCATGATTATGCATAGCAATTCGGAAAAGTATGAAAGGGAGCAGTCTCAGCATATCTCAAGCAATATAGCTTAGAATGAGGAGAAGTTATGAAAATGTGTCACTTGAGATCTGCGTGCGGTACTATCAAATCAGGTAAATTATGGCAAAACACATTTGCTTGAGCCAAAAATTTGTTGTGTTGTGACTTGACATGAGACAAATCACCTTTTCATAAACAAATAATAATTTCCATTAAAATATTTTGCTTTGGTCTCTTAGGCAGGAACAATAGCATTTAAAAATGGGAAGTATTATTCACAGAAACTGGAAAAGAAAACATGATAGCACATGTCTCCATGAAGAACAGGCATAATACTGGCTCAATATTACCTGGACCACTCTAGTATATTAAAAACACTTCTTCATTGTTTTGGCTAATTTTTCATTCACACATCTGTAGAAGTGAATTCACAGTGCCATCCTTATTTCCTCTATTTGCTTCAAATACAGATTTTATGACTTCCTTGTCCATATTTGGGAACATCTCTTCTATCTGAAAAAAAAAAAAGGAACTCCTTATAATACACCACCGCCATCACAGCTGTTGCCACCACCACCACCACCACCGCCATCACTACCCTTAATATTCTTCCACCAGAATAGACTGTCTTATAAAAAAAATAATCTTCTGTTGTTCTCTGTCTTCTCATAAACAACAAAGTATAACTGTCCTTGTGAAGATTCAAACCTAGATCATCCATCCGATAGCTTAGATATTATACTGAATGAACTATCCTGGCTCTTAGGTATAAAACCATTCCAGATAGTTCAAACAGTTGTCTACATGGCAGCAAACATTTTAAAAAATGTTTCATGCTATCCTGTAATGAAATGGCATGACAGGATATTCCTTCACAAATAAGGAACAAAAGTGGAGCAGTGTATTCCAATGAGGAGTACGTATTATCATAATGTTCTCTCAGTCATTACAGGTACAAATTTACTCTTCAAAGGCAACTGCACTATGCAGTCAGTAATTTCATATCCTTGTACATTATTAAACATTCACCTTAGCAAGACATTAAAATAAAGATTTAGATCATAAGATCACTACTTTATGTCATGCACACTGTATTTCAGGGGAACCTGATATAGATAAATTCTGGCTTAACATAAACTAAATAAAGTGGTATTTGTGCATGGGCACTATGCCCTGAAGACATACTGTGGAGTAAAGGCATAGCTCCTTGCATTCTTAGCCTTGATACTAAATTAAGTTGTGTCATCAGCTTCATGCCCTCAGAAACAGCTCAATATCTACTGGAGAGAAGGCTAGGTGAGCCTCAGGGCAATACTGATGCTTTGGAGAAAATACAAATTTCTCGACTCTGGAGGGAATAAAACCCCAATTCCTTTGTCATCCAGCCCACGGCCTAGTAACTATAACAACTGAGCTGCCCTGGCTTACAAGTAAACTAGGGCTTATAAATAAAAATTTCCTGAATGCTTTTAATAAGGTCATTGAATTTTTTTCAATTGACCTAACCCTTCCAGCTGCGGGGTGGCCAGCTCATAAGGCTGATAACCTTATCGCCATCATTGAGCCAATTGTCTAGATGTGGGACCCTCGTCTCACAACCCTATGGGCCTTCAGGGTCTGGTACAGGGGTAGTGTTACTTTTTTTACTTTATGGACATTGAAATTCTAAATTTCACCAATTATAAGTAGGCCTACTTGAAAAGATACAAGCAGATGGGCATACACAACCTTATTACCTATCTTATGCTCAACCTCTCACATTATGTACTTTGTGCACAGAACAGAACAATTACATATGAAAGATTTCTGGCTTAAAGCATAATTTTAGTAGATGCAAACTGTCAGGTTCACTGCTTTACTGACCTGTTTCAGTTCCTCTTCAGAAAGCTGCAGAGGCTGAGCTGGCTGTGCTGGTTGGGTAGGTGGAGCAGTATATACCGACACAGGAGCATAGGAGGGGCGCATCCCATACATGGGTGTCGGCATCATTACTACAGGTCCTACTGAAGGGTACAGGGCATATGAAGGTTGAGAAGATGTCAACTGAAAGCAAAGTTACAGTTATTAGGGACCTGGCAGTCTCATCTTGTTCAGAGGGTCTGAGGCTGAATCCCAAACTATTTGTACATTTGAGCGTGGGCCTTCATGTGCATAGATCAAAGCCACCACCTATGTCAAAGTTTACATCTTTGGAATGTGAATAATCCCATTCCTCCTCTGTTTTAAGCCCATACTAACCCTTCCTGGTTACAAGGTTATACAACATTCTCCCTAGTCAGGATGTTTCACCCCTCTTCTCTGTGTGTGTGTGTGGGGGGGGGTTCATTTATAATGCTGTCAGTATTTCAGACTATGTGCCTGAATGGCAGAACGACTGGAGAACAATGAATTGCAAATGACTGGAAGTGGTTATGGCCTAAGTCAGGTGTTATCATGGAATTTGTTTG